CATTAAATACAAGACATACACTTTTATTTCATTAAGTTTTTATTTAAAAGTTTTAATATTGTACAAGTTAAAAGAAAGAAATCAATTTTTAACGCAAAGTAATAAATCGAGTAAAAGTCTCTCCATCAACGACTATCTCGCAATATATAACAGGATAAATATAAATGCAACTTAACATTTAAACGCTAACTTGTTCCGCACTATATACGTTATATGTTAAAAAAATAACGATAAGGGAATACAGTGATTTTTCGCTATAAATATCATCCACAATTCATGTTATATAATACAGAAAAGCCAACTCTGTTGCCTCTTCAGACAATCTCAAACTCCACTTTGGACCGTTTCTTACTTTTTCATTTAATATTCTTTATATTCGTCGCTCCATAAAATTTTGCTTATAATTTCGATCAAAAGCACTTTGTACATCTTTATACATCATATAANAGCCCCTCTTTCAGAGTGGTTTCATAAGCTGATAAAACAATTTAAATAAAAGGATAAATTCAATAATTACAATTTAATTCATTAATAAATTACCAGTATTAACAGACTCCTTGGCCATGGCAACGACCAGCTGAGAATGGGAAGCGATTTTCTCGCCCAACTTCACCGCCTCGGCAATGAGTTTGTCCGCAGGGACAACCTTGCTCACTAGACCTACAAACAAAAATGACAAATTATTCCTATTCAAATTTAATTATCTCTCCCATTCGTTTAACGATGTTCACCGCTTTTCTCTGCTTCCTCAGCGGTGATTTGATTTCCGCTAAGCACCATCTCCATTGCTTTGCTCTTGCCGATTGCCCTGGTCAATCTCTGGGTGCCACCAGCTCCGGGAATCGTGCCGATCGCGATTTCCGGCTGGCCGAACTTTGCTTTGTCACCGGCGTAAATGATGTCGCACATCATCGCCAACTCGCACCCACCACCTAACTAAATAATGATACATCAGAGAAAAATTCTTGTATTATAATAAATTAAGAAAGGATCATTCGTATAAAAGAATTTCTTTTACTGCGTAGCCGTTCACGGCAGCTATCACCGGTTTTGAAAGTCGACTGACGCCATCCCAAATCGTGAGGAAATTTCCTCTCATAGTCTGGGCGTAAGTATTGTTCTGCATTTCCTTGATATCAGCTCCTAAATGATAATTTAACTTTAAAAAATAATTTAAAGATAAAAAATGTAGTCTTTTAAATTATACTGGCAAGCAGATAAGACTTCATCAGAGATAGACTTGCAGATTTCTAAATTTCAATTTCAAATATAAGAAATTATGCATTCAATGTTCGCAATTCCGTAGCGCAAGGATTTGTACGTATTTTTTATACATGCTTTCAATATCGTACCGGCGGCGAATGCTTTCTCGCTGCCGGTGAGGACGATCGCGCCGATGCTCTCGTTCATATCGAGCTTTGTAACGGCATCGTTCAATTCCGTCATTAGTTTATCGCACAGAGCGTTCAACGCCTTCGGTCTGTTCAATGTGACCAGAGCGACGTTCTGTTTCTCGCCGGTGGTCTCAACCTTAATAAACTCATAATTCTGAACTTGGCCTGCGAACAATTCAAAACAACTTGTGTCTGAATTTCAGTTTCGTCGACGACCTTTGCCCCCATCGAGCGTTACGTAACGATAAAGAACCGGAGTCAACAACCGGCGTTCAATAAATTTATTAAATATAAATAACATGACTGTATTAAAAATAATAGTAAGCGCATATGGAAAAGAAATGGAACATCAGAATTTTTACATTAAATTGAACTTACATTAAATTCACATAATGTAAAATTTGATTAATTATTACAATACGTTGTCAGCACAAATGTATGATTATCTCAAGTCGTTAAAATTTTAACGACGTTGCAAAGACAGTATGATTAACACTTTGTCAACACCAAAACTAATCGTCACACTGTTCAACGTTATTCAATGTATTTTTCTTATCAATACTCACAGCAATAATATTTCACGTTCGACGCAAAGTACTGTGATTTCCGGCCAATTTGCAAGCCTTTGCCGAACATAATTTGACCAACACGTGTGGTTGCCATGATGACCGTAGATTTTTAGTACAAAAAAATAAGAGAAACACCGTTTTAGTGTCTGAGACGAAGGAGCGACTAAATGATAAGTCAGACGTCAGACCCGGTTACTACTTGCCAGACGCTATACGTAAGGACTGGACAAACAAGAACCTCTCCATGAGCCAACTGGACACAGTGGTGTACCCGATGATCGACAAACCCTGACCCTAGCATCAGTTTTAGAAAATTCCTACACTTAAATTACAAAATAATTAACAGAAACAGACATTTAATAAATAAAATTTTAATACATTCGACTTGAAAAATGTTCTACGATTAAAACAGGCATTGTTGCTCTGTAGAAATCTGTTATCTGTAAATAGCTTTCAATAGGCATAATTTACATTAATTCATGCTTCTGATTTAGCAATTGCCAATAATAAGAACAGTGCGACGTAACCGGAGAGGAATACAGCAAACCGAAAGGTTCACGCCATCGTACGGCCAGCGTGACAATACGCGTGTCGCAAACCGGTTGATAATAACTATTTAAAAAATGTTACAAAGCCTGAAAATACTAAAATTTATAAAATGTTTCACGGAGTTAGTTTGAATCATCTGATCTAAATTATGCGATTCAATGAGAAACAATAGGAAATTAAAATGTAATGGGAACAAATGAAGAAGCGCAAGACGAGTGTTGAGGTGGAGAGGCATTCAATGAATTTGATAGGAAAGTGGGAGCGACGGACAGGTACTGTTTCTTAAAGAATGAACTTGAATTCTCTGCCAGTTCACGGACGTTCGTTCAACAAAACGTCTTGCGTCATGCGTGTACCGCTACTCTTCTTCCTTGCGCTGATGTTAAGACAACAGTTGGCGGGTATCGAACATCAAACGCATTCTCCATAATTCGACTATTAATCAAAATAAAACCGACAGCTATTTATACAATATAATTTTGTTATCTCCCGATAAAAAGAAGGTTGCGTATCGATAGTTTAATCCGGTGAACGCTGACATTAAATTAATCGCGAACTACGATTAAAGTGGCCAATATCGGATTCGAGATGAAAAACATGTTTTATCGATTTAGAAGAAATTTGGGAGCACGACCTTTCCACGGATATGCAGATTGGAGCATCCACGGAAGGCTACGAGAGAGTCGGGCTAAATTGCGAAGAGGATCGAATGATCGTTCAGGTTGAAACGTCTAAAGATTTCTCAGGGGTGATTTACACTCAGGGTAGTTTCCACTCCAGGCAATTACCTTGTTTCATCGATCCCGACCGCGGTGGCAATTTTACTCTGACTATACCATTCAATAAATGTGGAATAAAAAAGGTTGTACAATAAACGATAAAAATTTCTCTACGATAACAGAATTTCTCACGTATTTTAGGAGGGCGATAGATATAAAAATATTCTAGTTCTCCAGCATGACGATGAATTAATCATACCAGGTGACGCAGCATTCGTTCTTGAATGTGAATCTCAACTAAAATCGAACCAAGTAGAAAGGTATTTTTTTTATCTTTTTCTTTTCTTCTTCTTCAGATAAAAATCAATATTTTGTAACATCGTTCAACTGTATTTTTATGAACGCACCTGATTATATGTCTCTCGTTATTAATTGACTGTTTCAAGGGAAATTAAATCGAGCATCTCTCTGGTGGACGCTGATCCCGGCAGAGATAAATCGAAAAGGTTCGGATACGCAGCGAGCTATACGAAGGAGGTCGTATTCGCGCCTAAGTCGATCCTCAGGGTGAACGACGAGTTGTAAATTATTCATTGAATAAAAAAAATAATGAATTCAAAGAATGCGGTTTCATTAATCGAACCAAACCTTGTCTAACTCAGATCATGAGAAATTTTGTTGAATCTGT